CCCGGCCTCGACCCGCAGTTACCCCTCGTTCCGCTTCTCAGGGCGGAGGTCTCTTTCTCAGTGCGAGCCCCTGAGGGCCGCCGTTACCCCTCGCAGCAGCCGTGACCTCCTTAGCGCCACCATTCCCCCCCCTCACAGCACGGCTTTCTGCCTGGGTTCCGCCATTTTGCCCTCAGGGTCGTCGTTCCCCCCTCAGTACATTTCACCCTCAGGGCGGCCATTCGCCCCTCACAGCTGCTGCAACCTCCTCAAGGCCTCTTTTTCTCCCTCAGGGACGCCGTTCCCCTTTCACAGCACGGCTTCCTCCCTCAGGGCCATCATTTCTCCCTCAGGGCTGCCGTTCCCCTGCCACTACGGGCAGCCAGGGGTGAAGATTGCTTCAAACACCAGCATTTTGAGCATTCCCAACTGCCTCGTTTCTTCACAGGATCTCTGGCCTGACCTGGGGGGGTCTGTCAGCCACCCTGAAGCACAGGACTCGAAAAGAGCATTTTGGCTGGAAATGGGTCACCCCAGATGTCGCATCAGGCCCACAGCACCCAAGCATCATCCAGCCCCTGCAGCTTGCTATTCCCACAACCCATCCCAGCAAATCCTTAACGCGGTGCCATAATTAGTGATGCCAAAATAACACCACCTCTGCTTTTGCACCTATTAATTACTTCTGCCTGCATTTAAGCATCTAGGCATCCTATTTAGGAAGGTCTTCCAAATAACGCTGTGTAAGTATTCCCAGTCTGAATTCATTTAAACATCACCCGACTGCATTTTTTTTCAGCAAAATGCCCTATCAGTTTCTCACAGTCTCATGCCCCTATATTTAGTATCATCCTCCATTAACACACAAAATCCTCACTGGTGAATTGTTTAAGATACAGCCCCCAAAAAAGTGTGTCAGCTGATTTCTTTTTTTAAACCCTGTTCACCTAGATAATTTGAAAAAGGTTAAAAAAAGAAGAAAAAGTAGGCTTCAGGAAGCTGGATAATGATCCCCGTCCTGCGTGCACGGATGCCTCCAGGGCTCGTGTGGACTCTTATGCTGGGGAAGCTGTGATGGCTCCTGAGCAAGCGCCCTGCTTGCCACCTTCCTGAACTCCTTTGTGCCTGGGAAGAGAAATCGTTTCCTAATGAGAGCGCAGGTTTTCAAAGCTGCCTTTACCCATTAATTTAGATCATTTACAGCAGCTCAGTGTCTGCTCTCCATCACGCCCGTCTGCTCCAGAACTGATTCAGGCTACGACGAAGCCGGAGCAGCACCACAGCCCGCCCCAATTACCAGGCTTTACAGCACGGACTGCAGAAACACAACCGATCCTGCCCTTCAAACACGCTGCAGCGATGCTCGCCGGGCACAACGCCCACCGAACTTCTTCAAGGGCACTTGGGCTGCACGAGCAGACTTTCCGCATAAATCACTGCTCTGAGAAGACTGCCCTTGAAGTGGGACATCACCGAGAGCCAGAGAAGTTATCAGTAAAAAGGGGAAGCAGAATAAAGCAATCGAATGTGTTAACACAAAAAGGGTGGGCAGCGCAGCAGCAGAGACCCTCAGAAACCCTCTCTCTGCCTTCACGCATCGCACTGCAGCCTCTTGCCTCGCTCTTCCCAAAGCTGCCAGAAATACACTCGCAGCCTCTCTAGCAGCAGAAATTCTCATTACTGAGGATTTAACCCAAAAGGAGGCCTCATTTTGCACTGCCATCGGTTCAGCCCAAGCCCAACAAGCCCGGTTACAGTGGCCTCCCAAGAAGGCAGTGCTCATTTTGGAGCCCTGCACCAGCAGCCAGAGCAGTGGAAATTCGGTAACCGAAGCTGCTCCCTCCCTCTACGGCAGTGTGGCAAGACAGGGTAGAGCACATCAAAGCCTGAAGGGTGAGGACTTCCAAGGACGGTCTGGGTTACACTGAGACATATCAGAAACACCCACTACACAGGGGACTTTCCTTACACAAGCTTCCTGCAAGGAAATTCAAGTTTAAGTAATTTCCTTGCTGCACAGACTCTGCAAGGCCAGGTACAAAGCCACAAGGCAGGGCACCCACAATGGCAACAAAAACGACCTTAAACACAACTCAGGTGTCACTCCTGCAGACTTAAGTCTCTGCTGCGTACAACGGACATTGCCAATAAAAGGCACCGTCTGCTAATGAGGGAAGATGGCACCGCGTCCTTACGAGCCATGAGCCATCCTGCTCTAGAGACAAAGCCATCAGCACCAAACTGCTGGCTCTGCAATGCCTTAAACACAACTCAGGTGTCACTCCTGCAGACTTAAGTCTCGGCTGCTTACAACGGACATTGCCAATAAAAGGCACCGTCTGCTAATGAGGGAAGATGGCACCGCGTCCTTACGAGCCATCCTGCTCCAGAGACAAAGCCATCAGCACCAAACTGCTGTCTGCAATGAGTGGCTCATTCCCTTCATCCTGGGCCATTTCCAGGCACACCAGGGCTTTGTTCGGACTGCGCAGGGAGTTACCAACTGCTGGGACTGCACTCTGACTCACCCGGGCAGCCCACTCCTCACCCATTTCACAGGGCACCTTCCTGGCCCTCATCAGATTGTTTAAACAGTTCGCTTTGCTGCAGGACAGGGGAATTTGATGTTACTTCTGAAAACCACAGCGCGTGGAACTCCACAAGCGCGCAGCCACGGCAGCGAGGAGCACAAACATCACACCTCAACTCCCACCAGCAAACCAAGTATAATTAATGCGTATGGAAGGTGCTAATTAATTTCCCACAATCAAAAGAGATCTGGCGTTTAAGGTAAAGTGAGACTTTCGTATCCGTTACCATTTCAAGCAGCAGCAGCAGCCCCTGCTCTGCACAAACACAACCCCTCGTTGTGTAACTGCTCACCCAGCTCCTTCAGATGCCGCATGGCTGGGGGAGCTCTGCAGGTACAGCTTCGTTTAATTAATAATTAGCCCACTGCACTCAAGGTTACGATGATGACACTGAATTCCTCAAACTTGCTCGTAAATACAGGTCACCCTCCCTGTCCACCTCCCCACCCAGAACTGGTTTATGTTGTAGCTTTAACTGGGCAACACACCAGATCATCTCATTTTCTTCCGTTTCCCCACAAAAGCAGCACAGCGATCCATTTTTTCCACATTCCAGTGTTTTATTCTAGCTTATTTCCTCATCCAATTAACCTATATAAAAAACCGTAACACCACTGCTCAAAGCTCTTCATCTCCACCACCGCTCCAGTCAAGGGCCGTCCTGGGTCTTCTCTGACGCATTGCATTGCTGAAAGAAAACAAGAGCGGATTTAGAGGCAGAGAAACGTTCACCTAAAAACTACGGCAGGCAGACTTCGCAGAGAGCCAAAAGCAGCAGGGCCAGGGCAGACCGAGCAGACGTTACCTGGTTGGCAACTGCTGTCCTGGCCGTACTCCTGAACGGATCCCTCCTTCCTCAGGATGCGCTCAGCCTCCCGCTGCGCGTCCGTCTTCTCTTCAGCCTGCCAAAGCAGAGAGGCATTAACAAAGCCGCCGAGCGGAGCCTTCGCGTTGCCTCCCGCCTCCCCCCGCACAAGATCCGAGGGTTTCACAAGCCATTCGCTGAACCCAGCACACCACAGAAGCACAGTCTGGGAAAACTGATCCGGGGCCGGCTGCTGCCTTTGCTACGCCAGCCCAGGTATTGCAGCCCTAAGCAGAGAGTTAACCACTTGGACATGGCTGCTTAGGTGCGGGCTATGGGAAAAAGTTAATGGCAACAAGTAGGATGGCAAAGAAAGCTACAATTAAAGTGAGCAACTTAATGAAGTCTAGGAAGAGTCTCAATAGATGAACACATATCGAGTCAGGGAATTCGTTTCCCATCTTGCTTCCGTACCTACGAGCAAGACGCGGCTGCATGCCCAACTCTGATCTGTGGAACCCAAGTTGTGCCACAAGCCAAAGGTTGCATACGGCATGGGGTACAATTTTTCCATCGGCTGACCAGAATTGTCAAAAGGAATATTTCACAGGTACATTAGACTTTCAAATGAGCTCTCAACAAGAGGAAGGATGCGGACATGAGCAAAAGGAGTTACCTCGAATTACAGGACTATTTCCACATATGAACTAGCCAAGAGAGCAGCTTTCGTCTCAGAGGTTTCTGTTGGAGGCACAACACTTCTTTTCTCCAAGGACACTGCAGTTTCCATTTGCTAGCAAAGAATTCTTAGAACTTGTAAGGCAATGACAAAGCTAGCTAAGCACGGCAACGACCTACCATCGAACACGCTACAGCCGGCCCGTTGCTACAGCCCGACTGCCACTACAGGTTTGCAATGTCGGCGGTTTCGGCATTGTAAGGACACACCAATCCCTCTGCCTGGCTCTAGCATTCCCTCAGCTCCTGCTCGGGGTGAGCACCACAACATCCCAAGGGTCGCACCGTCAGTCTCTGCCCCTAGACACGTTTGGCTGTGCTTACGTTAAAGCGTGTTGGCAAATCCACGCGTCAAGACCGGTTCAGATTAAATTCTAGCAACTGGTCAGTAAATCTGGCTGGCTCTTACACTACCGCTAGTGTTCTCTGGCATCCTCTATCACTGATGGGCTGTTCTTCGTCTTCAAGAACCGTGTTGTGCAATGAAATGTCAATGGCAGGAGCAGAGTTCATTTCAGACGGTCTTTTAATAGGCTTCGTAAAGCCAAAGAAAACTGTATACAAGAATCCTTTACCACTCAAATACAATATCAATGGAATATGCATATTTCTTCCAGTAAAAAAGGACAATATAAATAAACATTTTCAAGAACCTCTTTTATGGTAAGTTTGCAAGTCTATTTCTGGGTCATTTACAGCATTACAACAGTAAAAATACCGTTATGCAGGTTGAACATACAAGCAAGTTTCTCTTTAGATATATCAAGGTGGTTTGCCTTCCAATTTGTACCCAGGCTGCATTCCTACCTTGCTACACTAAAGGAATGTTACAAAAGACGAAGGTAATGCACTTAAAAAAAAAAGTCCACAGCTTGTTCAGCTTCCAGTGAACATTGAATTAAAGGTCCTTTCTATCTCAAAAGAAACTGAATTGGGGCCCCAACTCCACAACTTTAAAGAAAAAAACACCTTGGCTCATCATGGAGGATAAAATAAAATGTGAAGTGCTTTCAAAAAAGATTAAAAACACTTGAAAGCAGAGCTTTCTTAAAAAAAAAAAGTCTCATCAGACCATGGTATATCAGAAGCTGTCAGGCTGTGTTTGACAAGATTAGAACTGATAATACTACAAAAGTGAAAATACAAGTAGATGTACTACACAATAACGATTTCAGCGAAGCTCCAAAAATCTTTATAAATACAGCCATTGGAAGGACGATCTTGAGTCAGGAAGGATTTTTACTCGTTGTGTGTAGCTGAGGACAAGAAGCAGGCACAATTGTAAAGGCACTGAAGCATAGACAAGTTCCAGCATTTTACTCCCTCGCATTACTTCCGAAGCTACTGCTAGAGCGCTACGCCCTGAGAACTCCCCCACCCTTGAGTTAACTTTGTTAGGCCTTCCGAGTTTCGGCTTAGTCTCGAGCTCGAGGAATGCATTTTAAAACTTGCTTTGCCTTAGATCCAAGCAACTCCTACACATGCATTACAAATTAGAAATTTAAGGGCACCACCACGTCCAGAGCCTGACACATTGGTTCTTACGGGCAAGACCAGAGCAGCGGCACAGTCCGAGCGAGCCTCGCTGCGCTCCCAGACTCAGCACAGGGCAGAGTGAACAGTTCCTACAGCACACGCACTCATGGCTCCCGGTTGAACCAAGACTTACCGTAACTGTCATAGCTGTCTCTGTAGGACCCTCCCGAAGACCTGTCGCCATAGCCACCTTGACTCCTGCTGGGAGAAACACGCACGTGCTCTGTATCTGCTCAGCCTCTTCTGGAGCCTGCGGACGTTTACGTTCAACAGGCAACGGAGCTGCACAGTCGCCCACGAGCGGTCGCGATGCCCTTACCTGCTATTATAGTAGTCTCTGGAGCCGTTATAGCCTCCACTTCTGGAGTCAAATCTGCTTCCGCCATAGCCTCTGTCTCCACCTCCTTGAACAGACAGCGGATGGGGCGTTTTTAGGCGCTCTGACAAAGCCATCACCGCCTCGGGTGCTGCGCGGTGTTCATGCACACTCACCTCTCGAGAAGCCACGGCCCCGACCTCTGCCGCCACGGAAAAAGCCTCTGCCCCCAGAAGAGCCCCCTCGGTATCCACGAGATCTGTTCTCTGATGACTTCCCAGCCTGATCAACTCTGATCTGACGTCCATCTACAGACTAACGAACAGAACAACGTCAACCAACTGAACACTCAGACGTTTAAACAGCACAGCACGTGCAGTTACACACAGTCCTGGCCAGCCAAGCAGCACCAGACCTTACGAGTTCTTACACACACAGGATTTAATGTCACAGCTAACTCAGCTACACTAGTAAGTCTATGGTTAAACAGTGTATATAAGCATTCCTATAAAACATCACTAGTTTTAAGTGGTATCAGTAGAACAATGAGCCTTCAGAAAGCTTTACTATTATTTATGCCACTTCTTTGATTCAAGACATTCATATTTGTCTTTCTACACAGCACTGCACAGAAACGGATCTAATGAGCACCTTTCACCACGTTTTAAGGAAACCAAGAAAGCAGCTCCAAGCCCTCCTTACCTTTCCATTCATGGCCATCATTGCATCTTTAGCATCATCTATGTTTTCAAAAGTAACAAAGCCAAAGCCTCTGGATCTCTGAGTCTCTCTGTCTTTTACAACAACAACTATAAAGAGAGGGGGGGAAAAAAAAGCATCAGCACCTGTGCAATCTCACAAATTTAAGGAAGTAACCGCAGCTTGGTACTGCAATCTTACCTTCCGAAATTTGTCCGTATTTAGAGAAGACTTGTTCCAATGACTGCTCATTGGTGTCAAAACTCAGCCCACCGACAAAGAGTTTTCCCTCGTCTGATGCCATTCTGACCTGCAAAGTCAATAAACACGAAGGTCAAAACCTCAAAAAACTAATCGCACAACGTCTGGAAAAATAAAATTGGTTACAGTAGCGCAAATAATCTCACGTTCTTGCAAAACACGCACGTTTAAAGCTCGGTAAACCGGTGCTTTATATTGCAAAGAAATATTCTCTAAGATGGCTCCAGGCCAAGCAACTTCC